CTGCTCAGCCAGCCATATTTACCATGCAAATAAAGATTAGCTGCCTGCACCTACACCCCCCTCCCCCATCACCACCTGACTACTCCCTCCCTCCCTCCCTCCCTCCCTCCCTGCTCTGCTCTACACTCCCAACCCCACACCAACCACCCCCACCCCACCGCACACCACACAGTACACACAGAACATATATTCACAGCAAACTTTGCATTCAAAGTGAAATTATTAGGTTGGAAAGTTATGACGAAACCTGTGGAGGTTGTACTGAGAGCACAGGAATCAGCCTCCAGAAATGCATATAATAAATAAGGGTTGAACGCACCGGACAAAGTCACAGATCAGAGCAGAAAGGCTTGGTATTGAGAAAACTAGAGGGCATGATGTAAGTGTAGAGTAGATTTTAATAATAATGGGGAAAAAAGTTACCTTTAACTTGCTTATTGTTTTTTCGGTGCAGGTCTACTAGGTCGAGACCATCTTTCAGCCGCTGGAACAGCCTAAACTCGGTGGGAACAGGCCATTCTGCACGCCTCAGGTAAGTGCTTTACCTTTCGTTGTTTATCATTTACTGAACAAATGAAAACAATATGGACTTCCGGGTTAGACGATGTAGTGAGCAGACGCACGAGGAGAGGCTCCCGACTAATTTGCATTATTTAATTTCAATACGGTCCTGTTGTTTCACTTTTTACCTCACAACAAGCTGCTGAGTGCGCATTAGAAATGGAATAAGTAAGAAATCAACATCGCAAACAACAAGGAATTCAAGCTTACATAACTCGTGCTAATTCGCAACCTGTACAGCTAACCAATATGGCGACGAGCGCAGGTTCCGCTCCAGACAACACTCAACCTGCTTCCGAAGTTAACAAGCCCGCTACGGTTCAACAACTCTCAGCCATGCTAGAAAACCAACGAGCCAGTATGAAGGAAGATATGGCGAAGCTAATACAAACCACATCCCAGTCATTGACAGCCTCCGTTGATGCGCTGCGAGGGGACGTGAACTTGTTTAATAAACGCCTTACCGAAACAGAAACAAGAGTGGGAGAAAACTTCGAAAGGATCACTTCGGCTGAAGCAACGGTAAAATCCCTGGAGTCCCAAAATAAACACCTCCTAGACCGAGTAGAGGACCTGGAAAATAGACTGCGCGATCTAATCTCTGCATTGTGAATATACCGGAAGGCAGCGAGACCGGTAAGGAACCGAAACAGTTCATAGCCGACTTTCTGATGGAGGCTCTCGGGGAGATATTCACGTCGCCCCGCCCATCGACCGTGCGCACCGCACCGGCCCGCTACCGGAACGTGGTTCCCCAAAGTCGAGACCTTTCGTTGTGTGCTTCCACAACTTCTCTGACAAGGAAAAGACATTAAGGTGGGCAATGAAACATGAACTGAAACACGGCAGTGTGACTTTGAGAGTGTACCAAGACATGAGTGCTAACCTGGCCAGAAGGAGAGCTACTTTTAATGGCATCAAGCAGGAGCTGTACAGAAAAGGCATCCGCTTCGGACTGTTATATCCGGCGCGTCTGCGTGTCACCTTTGATGGAGAATCTTCGACACCCCTGAGGAAGCAAAGGCCTTTTACGAACGGCGCATTGCAGGCTAATTTGGGTATGACATTGTGAGAGCTGAATTGTGTGATCAGTTGCGTAGATGTGCGCGCACACACTTCTCGTGTCCCGATACAGACATTGGTAACGTAACACACTAATTGTTAATGAGACGGCTCCTCATCTCATGTGTGGCTCAGATGTAAGCTTTGATCCAGTTTGACTTGTACTTGTTGTGGGAAATGATACAGTACATTCCAATGTAGGATTTGAATATGTTGGGTGTGTTTTCTCAAGTAGGAGAAATATAGAAGATGTCACTTGGGGGACAAGATAAGGGAATCCTGCGGCTAGCCCCTGTTAGGGAGACCCGCATAGGAACGGAACATGTTCAAGTTGTTCCTTTTTTGTTTTCTGTTTTTATTTATTTATTTTCATAGGGTGTTCAGAGTTGTTTGGGATACACACTACCTCTACCTTTCACAAACGGAAAATAATAATAAACCCAGAGTAAAGTAATGTTAAGTGGAGTAATAACAGGAGGAGACACTGCCAGATTTGTCAGTTGGAATGTCAAGGGGCTAAATGGCCCTGTTAAAAGAGCTCAAATTTTCACCCACCTAAAATCTGAAATTATTTTTTTACAGGAGACACATTTAACAATAGAAAGTTAGCCGAGATTACGAAGACCATGGGTCGGTCAAATATTCCATTCCAATTTCAATAGTAAATCAAGGGGAGTGGTGATTCTTTTTCATAAAAAAGTTCAGTTTACCGCAGCAGTTGTTATCTCTGATCCGAATGGCCGGTACATTATAGTCTCGGGATCGCTTTTCCATACACCAGTGATACTTGTTAATGTGTATGCACCCAACTGGGATGATGAAGATTTTATAAAGAAAATTATATCCAATATTCCTTCTCTAAATTCATATTTAATATTTGGAGGTGATTTAAATTGTTTACTAAACCCCAGTCTGGATAGATCCAACCCCGCTTTAATTCCTCCGTTAAAAATGGCAAGGGCCTTATCAGCTTTTATGGATCAGGCTGGATACGTTGATCCCTGGAGGTTCCAGAACCCCACTAAGAAAACTTTTTCTTTCTATTCACATGTACACCATTCATACTTATTTTTTTATAGATAAAACTCTTCTCCCATCAGTGGCCAATACAGAATACTCTGCAATAGTGGAGTCAGACCATGTACCGTTAATCCTAGATCTGTCATTTAATCTCTTGCAGAAACCCCGCCCCCTGTGGAGGCTCAACTCTCTCCTGCTAGGTGATAAAAGCTTTTGTGATTTGATAAACAAGGTTATTGATGAGTTTCTCATAAACAACGATAAAGACAATGTAAGCCCTTCTCTTCTCTGGGAGACTCTCAAAGCTGTCATCAGGGGAGAAATTATAGCCTTTTCTTCCTTACAAAATAGGGTACGCAGAGAGAAACAAGACAAACTCTTAAAATCAATAAGAGAGTTAGACTCACAAAATGCAATGGCACCGTCACCAGACCTTTCGAAGCTGAGATTGAATTTACAGAAGGAATATGACTTATTGTCGACCGGTAAAGTAGAAAGGCAACTTCTGCAGGCACGTGGACTAAATTATGAAAGTGGTGAGAAAGCGGGAAGATTACTGGCACACCAGCTTAAAGTTAAAACCAATTCACAACATATATCACAAATTAAAAATAGCTTAAATCAATTAACAATAATCCCATCTGAAATTAATAATGTTTTTAATGAGTTCTACTCTACTTTATATCGATCTGAAAGTCCACCTAATGATGCAGACATGGAAATATTCTTTGAGGGTATCATTTTTCCTAAAGTTGGAAACGATCAAGCCGGGAATCTAGAACAACCATGGAACATAAGTGAAATTACAAAATCAATCAAAGCCATGCAAAGTGGGAAGACACCTGGGCCAGATGGCTTTCCAATTGAATTTTACAAGACATTTTCAGACTAACTATCACCACTTCTGCTTAACATGTTTAATGAGTCTTTGGCCCAAGGAACCCTACCACAAACTCTTACAATGGCATCAGTTACTCTATTGTTAAAACCTGGGAAGGATGCAGATGAATGTGAATCATATCGGCCAATATCTCTTTTAAATGCAGACTACAAAATATTGGCAAAGGCCCTGGCTATGCCCCTGGAAACAGTTATACACCAAATCATCTCTGATGATCAAACTGGTTTTATTAGCAATCGCCACTCATTCAGTAATATCCGCCGCCTGCTAAATGTTATTTATTCTCCTGCATCTGAAGAGATTCCAGAGATGGTTATCTCTTTAGATGCGGGTGTAGGGTGGAATGGCCATATTTGTTTAGGGTCTTGGAAAATTTTGGTTTTGGTCACCGATTCGTATCATGGGTTAAACTTTTGTATTCTTCACCCAAAGCCTCAGTCATTACAAATAGATTGAATTCTGAATACTTTAACTTGCATAGAGGTACCCGCCAAGGCTGCCCTTTAAGCCCCTTATTATTTGCCTTAGCGATTGAACCGTTGTCCGTTGCTCTTAAAACCTCCCCAAACATTAGTGGTATCCTTAGATGGGGCATTGAGCATAAAGTTTCTCTTTATGCTGATGACTTATTGGTTTATATTTCTGACCCAGTTAAGTTTGCCCCGGCATTAATAGAAATTCTTAGGCAATTTGGGCCATTCTCCGGATATAAATTGAATTTTGCAAAAAGTGAATTTTTCCTTTCAAAAAATGTGGCTATTGAAACGCCAGAAATACAACTGCCATTTCATAAATGTAATTCTGAATTTAAATACCTGGGTATATATATCACTCGAAAATATGAACATTTATATGATAGGAATTTTTCTTCATTACTGATTAAGATTAAGGAAGACTTTGACAGATGGAAAACTATATATTTCTCACTAGCAGGCAGGGTTAACGCTATTAAGATGAACATTCTACCACACTTTTTGTATTTGTTCCAATGTCTGCCACTCTTCCTGCCTAAACTCTTTTTTATTACTAAATAAATTCATTACAGGCTTTTTGTGGGGCAATAAACTACCGAGGATAAATAAAGTGATGTTGCAAAGACATCGCACTCAAGGAGGTCTTTCTCTCCCCAATTTTAGATTTTACTACTGGGCAGCAAATATACAGAAAATAATGTACTGGATTAAATTCCCTCAAGCTAACTGGTGTCTAATTGAAGCTAAATCGTGCCCCTCTTGCTCCCTTGTATCGTTGGTGACTTCTAATCTCCTCCTTTCCCCAAGACAATACTCATCCAGCCCTATAGTTATTACAACATTGAAAATCTTATCCCAGTTCCTCAAAAGATTTAACCTCACAGCTGCATCTAATCTAACTCCTATTCATAATAGTCACCTCTTTCTCCCACCTAGACTGGATCATACATTCAATGTTTGGCTTAAAAATGGCATTACTGGGCGCCCGGATAGCTCAGTGGGTAGAGCTGGCGACCCATGTACCGAGTCCTTGCTGCAGCGGCCTGGGTTCGAATCCGACCTGCGGCCCTTTGCTGCGTGTCATCCCCTCTCTCTGCCCTCCTTTCCTGTCTATCTCCAGCTGTCCTATAATAAAGGCAATAAAAGCCCAAAAATAAATAATTAAAAAAATAAATAATAATGGCATTACTAATATCGGTCAATTATATATAGGTGGGGTTTTTGGAAGCTCTGGAGATGTATTTGTGAAATATAATATCCCTCGAATTCGTCTGTTCCGTTATTTCCAGGTACGGCAATTTGCCAAATCTCTAAATCCCAGTTTTCCTAACCGACCTGAGGACTCATTATATGAAAACATCTTAGATTCACCACCAAATCTTAAAGGGTGTATATCCAGAATATATAAGATTATTAACTCAGCTGCTGAGACTAATATTGTCAAGATTAAGGGAGATTGGGAAAAAGAGTTAGGGGTGAGTTTATCAGAATCATTTTGGAATCAAGCTCTAATCAGAGTAAATAAGAGTTCATCATGCTCACGGTTAAGCATAATACAGTTTAAGGTACTGCATCGCTTACACTACTGTAATTCCAAACTCTCAAAGATCTACCCAAATGTACAAGATAGCTGCAATCGATGTCATAATTCACCTGCAGATCTTACGCACATGTTTTGGTCCTGCGCAAAACTGGTAGATTACTGGAATGCCATATTTAAATTCCTGTCCGAATCCCTCAATTTAAACCTTCAACCCAATGCCTTTATGTGTATATTTGGTACCCATTCTGATAAAGATCCAGACTTAAACAGTAAACATAGAAATGCCATTGCTTTCTCAACCCTTCTGGCGCGTAGGAGAATCCTGATGGACTGGAAATCACCCCGATCCCCAAGTTCTACTGTGTGGGTGAAGGATCTAATGTTCTTCTTAAAATTGGAGAAAATTAAGTTTTCGCTTCGGAGTCAACCTGACAAATTTAGTTCTACTTGGGGCCCAGTTATACAACACTTCGACAAATTGAAGAATCTCTCGGCAGACTTGTAGTTTAGGACCTTTCTCAACCAACCTTCCTCCCTTCTATCCTTTTTCATTTATTATAATAAGCATTGTTATTATTATTACTATTTTATTTGGACTTTACTCTTAAGTTATCTTTTATTTACTAACTGACATGTCCTCCTGGGGGGTATTCCAGAAAGCGGGTTATGTGAAAACTCTGCGTTTGTTAACCCTGAGATGAGGGAAACTCTGAGTTATCCGTTCCAGAAAGAGAGGTAACTTAAACTCTGGGTCTGTTACTGCGGTAACTTACGCTGTGAACCAAACCTGCTCGCTGGCAGGTTTACTATAAGAAACCCAGGGTTTCTACCCGTCTCCTCCCACACGAGGAAGCGGTTAGACATGGATTGCCCATTTATTCGTAATCCGCTTGACATCGAAACCGTAATTATTCGTAATGCTTTACGTCGCGAGAGAATCTTCCGACCCAGATTAGACGTCTTATCATTTCCAGAGGAATATCTTTTCGAACGTTACCGCTTTTTATCCAACACTATAATTTATCTCAATCACATTCTCCGGCCATATATCACCAACCTCACACACCGCGGACGAGCACTCACCTCAGAACAAACATTATCCATAGCACTACGTTTTTTTGGAAATTGTAGTTTTCTTTATAACATCGGCGATGCAGAGCACATTGGGAAAGCAACAGTGTGTAGAGCCGTGAGAAAGGTGACCCTCGCCCTTAAACGCCTGTTACCAGTGATGGTGGTGTTCCCCGGGCACAAACCAAGGAGGAATTCCACAGGATTGCAGGTGGCGACTAATGTAGAAATAATATATTCTGTTATTTTAAATTATGAGAGTGGGGTCAGTAGCTTAATTAGCTGTCATTTTGCAGGCCTTCCAAATGTGATGGGGTGCGTTGATGGGACACAAATCCCCATTACTGCGCCTGCAGAAAATGAAGCGGACTATGTGAATAGGAAATCCTTTCACAGCATCAATGTCCAGGTATGTGACCTACCATCTTAAAAAATATGTACACGAAAAAGTATACATTACAACTAACTCATGTCATTCTCTGCACTGTAAAGATATGTGATGCAGCTTACATTGTGACAAATGTTGAAGCCAAGTGGCCTGGCTCGGTGCATGACTCCCGGATCTACCGGGAGTGTCGTCTTAGCACCAGATTTGCACGTGGTAAGGAAGCTAAAGCCTTGTACAAAGTTTGCTGTCTCCCTTTTTAGATGCACTCAAATGTGTCCTCTATAATTACATGAGAGTTTGATGGCTACCTGCTGGGGGATCGTGGCTATCCATGCCAGCCCTCTCTGTTGACACCTTACCCTGACCCTGGGGCCCCAACAACGTTTTAATGTGGCCCACTGCAGGACTAGAGCCCAGGTTGAGATGACCTTAGGGATACTCAAATCCCGGTTCCAGTGCCTGCAGAAGCTCAGGGTCACCCCAGAGAGGGCATGTGACATCATTGTGGCATATGTTGTTCTCCATAATATTGCAATTATTAGAGAGCAACACCCTACCGTACAAATCAATGACCCTGCGGATGACCATCCCATCCCTGCCGATGTCCAGGATGGAAGGGCTGCAAGGGACCTCATCGCAAGAAATTACTTTTGATTAAAAATAAAATACAAGACAAATTCACATGTGATTTGGTTCTTCTTTATTCCCTACAAGTACACAAGCAACAGTCAGGATTTGTAATATAGTTCCAACCATTAACATATTCACCTGTTTCACCATGACAATGCACCCACCTCAACTGGCGTTCCAGTAATAGAATCGGTCGGTTTTTTTTAATCTTCCGATCCAGGTACACCATTTCTTTTTCTGTTTTTTGTATTGTTTTCAGGAGGTGCACCCGGTACAACTCCTTTACTGGTAACTGGGAAACATATGGACGATATTTAATTCCTACAGTTCTACATACAGATTTAACATGGTATTGACCGACAATCTCACTGTGTCCAGCTGTGCTGTGGAAGTTGATGGACCCTCCTCCTGGTGATGCCCAGCCATGTTCTGTTGAAGGACAAGAATGTGCTAGTTTGTCCATATACTCATCACTTCAGTGTACATGTCAAACTCCAAATTCCACTCAAGAATGTAAATGAATATGAATGGGTAGAGCACTGCCAGTAGCTATACATAATATTAGGACACACTTCAGTAGGCCCCTCCGGATCTCTCCCTGTGGCAGCAGACAGTGTTTCCTCATTATCCTCCTCCTCCTCCTACTGTGATGCAGGAAAAGATTCTGTTTCAGAATACTTTGAACTACCGTCTGAGGCAAGATCCGAGTATGGAATACTTACAGCTGCAGGGTTTACAGTTGTTTCAGTCGGAGGCTGAACCAGGCAGATGACACCATCCACAACTGTTGGGTGGGTGGATATATATTTGTTAAAAAGTAGGCTAGATATTTATATATTAGTTTTATTTTTTAAAAAGACATAAGTGTATACTTGCATCTGATGTAGGCACTTGTGTCCTGGGGGGTGACAGACTCAGATGACCTTCCCCCGGGGATGCCTTCAGCCACAGGGCGACCCCTGTTTTGGCTGAGGGCCAGCTCCTCAGCCTCTGTCAGACGTGGTGGAGGTGGCCCTCCACCCGTTTTTCGGGCCTCTGCCTTCTTTCTGTTGGCTGAGCAGAACTCAATGTTTGTTTTTAATTAGTATTTTAATGAGTGTTAGTGTAGGCTACAGGGTCACATTTTAAATGACTTCAATAGGTATAAAATATAAATGTGTTTGTATCAATCTACTAAGTGGAGTATTAAGTGAGAGGACGCTGAAAAACAACATTTTGTTTGGGGTTTAAATTACTATTTGAAGTAGCCACTGAATTAATATTTACTTTGTTTAATAGCCTAAGTTAAAAAAATAAAATCAAAATCAAAGTGAGGTGCAATCATAGGCTAGCAAAATATGCCATACCATTTTGAATGATGTTTTTATGTTTCATTTTTAGTTGCTTCCACGTCCGTTTTTCTCCTGTAGAATTGCACCTAAAAGAAAATCAGATTTCATTATAGGCCTATTCATAACTATAGGCTATGCTACGATCTTACGGTTAAATGTTACGTCAATGGAATATTACATTCAAACTTACGCGTTGACTCGGGCAGCAATTTTCTCCCTTGCGTCTCTCTCTCCTTCGCTGCTGCGGTGGTGTTGCATCTACGGCGAAATATATGTTCATATTCGCCGTAGGCCAGCATCAGGACCTCCAGCTCCAGCGCGTTGAAATAAGTCGATCGTTTTGTTTCCGTTGTCATGGTGACTCGTGGTATCGGGGCTCCATTGATGATGGCTTTTTATAGTGGTTGTGCACGCGCGTTACTCGAGATTAACATCCTCCGAGTTGACTGGACTAATGGTGCGTTCCATTCGTCCACCCGACTTGATCTGCGAGTCGGATTTCCGAGTTACGAACCGGAAGTTGCAAATAGAACGCCCCCGAGGTCGGAAATACGACTCGTCAACTCGTCTGAACTCAGAGGACCCCGAGTCCAGTAACAAAGATGGCTACTCCGAACTGGCTAGAGACGCTCCATGTTGCTATGACAACAATGCCGATTCTTGAGCAGAAAGCCGATTCTTGAGCAGTAGCCTAACGTTATCAAAACGGAATATTCAGAATATTCAGATATCAAACTGGGAAATACGAGTTGTGTAGTATGTAATGAACGTGAAATCCGCGGTGGGTGCACCGTAAACGAGATAATCACTATAAACGTTCACTATAAATCTTGGGTAATTTCTCTGTGATCAATGTGTCTATATTTAATTAACGTTTAAACACAGAATGATACTGTTTTTCAAGCAGTCGCGTCCATCTTTTCTCTGACTCGTCTTGTTGGGTGCCAAATAGAACGCAAAAACCCGGGGTCACTTGTTTTCCGAGACGGATGTGACGTCACACCCGAGCTGCAAGTCGCGATTACGAGACAAATAGAACGCACCATAACTCAGATCTGCTGTTCTGGAACCGGATACTCAGAGTTTCCCATCGCAGAGTAAGTCAA